GAATTCCAAGAAACTTCTTAGACAACCATAACAATGTGTCCCATATGGTCTAGTGGCTAGGATATCTGGCTTTCACCCAGAAGGCCCGGGTTCGATTCCCGGTATGGGAAGTTGTTTTTTTTTTTATTTTTTGTAATATTATTCTTCTTTTTAATAAAATCATGAATATTATTCACAAAAAAGTATAAAAAATTCACTTTTAGATGTTTTAAATTTTCCGGATAAATGACTAATTGCAATAAATGACTATCGAACACATAGTTTGTACGTCAACACGCTATGAGGGGTTCATTGGGTAAGCCATGAATTTTAAAGCGGAATGTTTTTATATTTCATTATGACTCCAAAAAAGACTTTATTATTTTCATAATTGATAATAGTTATATACATTTTCTTTCGTTATTTTTAAAATTTCGTAGAATGACATCAAAGCGAGCACCGTGTAAGTTCTCCAAGTCCAACCTTAAAACGATTAATTTAACTTAAGGTCTATAACTGAACTTTTAACATTAACAAATTGTTTGCGGAAATATGTACATAATATGCCATAGGTAGTATGTTGCATTGTATTTGTTGTGATTTACTATTCACACTCTTATCGCGATTTTCCACATTGTTAACCGAATGACACTGAATACAAACGACAAGAAAATTCAAAACAAATGAAAACAGAATCAAAGAAAACAATCGTAGAAACAATAGCAGAAAATATAGTGTGATAGTCACACGTAGCATTGACACTCAAAAAAATTGGCAGTTGATTTTTAGGTTTTTTATACCCTATACCACAAGGTGGTCAGGGTATTATGTCTTTGTGCATTTGTTTGTAACAGGCAAAAGGAAACGAGATAGACCCATAGTTCCTTTTGATGATCTGCATAGAATCATATTCTGAGTCGATTTATGCATGTTCGTCCGTCTGTCCATGTATTTTTGTAAACAAAGTACAGTTCGCATTTATTGCCCTATCTAGATGAAATTTTGCACAAATCATTTGTTTGGCCCAAGGACGAACCCTATTGAAATTGGAGATAATTGGTCAAAATTTAGATATAGCTCCCATATATAGGGTTGCCCATATTCGACGAACCCATCTGGCAACGCCATAACTTTTGACAGAGATGTCACATCGCTTAATGACATACCGCGTTTGAAGCGTCAGTCCAAGCAGATTTTTACCATGAACCAATACACGCCACGCGAGCGCTCTGAAGTAGCTGAAATTTACAAGAAGTCAATTGTGAAAACTCAACGTGCTTTTAAAACATTAAAAAATGTGAGAAGTGCGCCTTCTTAGAACACCATTAAGCGTTTATACGAAAAATTTGCGACTGGTAAGGCTCTTTCTAATCCCAAGAACATCCCAAAAATGCCGTTCTCAGCAGTTGGTCATGGCTCGGTCCACTTTACAACGGATTATTCGCATTGATTTGCATTTGTTCCCGTACAAAATTCAATTGACGCAAAGAATGTTGCCTGCGGACAAGCCTCGTCGATTAGAATGGGCCCAAAGGTCCGTCGAATATGGGCAACCCTTATATCTTCGTCCGATTTGCTTTTTATTGTGCACCAAACGTGTAATATCAGTCCGAATAGCATGGAATTTTGCACGTACGATCGGACCTCAAAATAAGTATGTTAAATTTGATCGAAATCGGTTCAGATATACCTATAACTCCCATATATATTGTTCATCCGATTTGTTATTTTTGTCCTCTGCAGCCGTAATATGCACTCTGTAACAACAATATTTGGGGAAATATATCAAATACTGCTCAGAAATACCTTTGCTAAATTTTATCGAGATTGGTTCAGATTTGGATATAGCTCCCATATATAACTTCGTCCGATTTACCTTGGATTGTGCACCAAACGTCTAATATTTGCCCAAATTGGATGAAATTTGGCACTTACGACCGAATTGAGTCTAGAAGTTAGTATGTCAAATTTTAAAGATCGGTTCAGATATAGCTATAGCTCCCATATATACTGTTCATCCGATTTGTTATATTTGTTACCCACAGCCGTAATATGCACTCCGTAACAAAGGTATTCAGGGAAATATATCAAATACAGCTCAGAAATATCTTTGTCAAATTTTATCGAGATCGGTTCCGATTTGGATAAAGCTCCCAATATTTTTACCCGGTTTCAAATTAATTGTGCACCAAATGGCAATACAAGTCCGAATTTAAAAGATACAAATGCTTCGGCATATTTAGTTCTTTGAACTTTAAATTATAATTAAAATCATAGCGTGTATGATTGAATTTTCCAATAAAAACTTTTAATTGTTATGTGGAGCTCTATTAAATTAGCAAAGTGGTGTAGGGTATCATAAAGTCGGCCCCGCCCGACTTTAAGACTTTCTTTACAGTTTTTTTTTTAATACATGGGAGGCATTTGTGATGGAACTCAAGTGTTTAGTTCGAGATCGATACATTCTACTTTCAATATTAGGGATCAAAAATATCATGTCTTTAAGCAGATAACAAAATGATTTTCGTAAAGATCACCCAATTCGCAAAAAATACCCCACACCACTTTGTGAAAAAATACAGATATTAGAGTTCCGAAATATTGAATCACTTTTAATTTAGTTGGTAATTGATATTGAAAGCTTAAAGTACAAATATATGTTACATACTATTCTTTTAATTAAAGAACGGCTGGCATGATTTTGACAATTTACATTAATTAAAAAAAAAAAAAAAAAAAAAAAAATGAAAATATCCTCCGGAAATTCTTCTGAAACTTTTAAAATACCTTAAGTTGCAGGTGTAATTGTACGAGAGATTGTGAGCAATAGTGAGTAATTATCAAACGGTTACCCTTAATTATTAGGTGGACAAAAGCAAATGTCTTCTAAACGTTGCAAATACAAAACTCAACATTGTGGTTCATTTTATTGTATGGGGCTTTTATTAATATAGACATGCTAAATCTTTTTGGTTTCTAACTGACAAATTGAAGGTGAAAAATATGATCAGAATCTTTAAAACCCTTAAAATCTACTGGTACGTGAACATGTATTGACATTTTGCCTTAGGTATTTATTTCTATTTTGAAATTACTACCGAAGTATTATTGAATTGAATTAAATTGTTCAAATTATATGAGCCAGATCTGTAAATGAGTATACTTTTAAATATAGGCATTAAAACACTAAAACTATAGGCTGACTACGCGGACCGAGACAGCTAGTCTTTTTATAAAAAATTGTCATTGTCCTCTAAATATTGGTTGTAAACATCATAAACTCGGTATATTTATGATCAGCATATCTGTTGAAATCACGATACAGACCACATTATTTGACCTTAGACGTAGCATGGTTGGCATTGAAAATGGTCCATTTACAAAAGCCCCAAAAGCCCGCATTTCGATGTTTTAAGCCACATTTTATCACGGAATTATTTCAAGTTGTGTATTAGGAATTGGTCACGTTCCACATCTTGTGGCATAACATTGGAAATATACGTTTGACTATAGCGTAAATATAACGGTACCTCCCGATATTCGGTATTTTCTTGATTTAGTCTAAATTTTTTTCACGAACATTTTTGGAATTTGGTATTTAGAGTTTGTAATGGGTTTTAACTTCTGTGGAATATTATATGGCATATGACACGTTTTCCTATAGCCTTCCTAACTGTAACTCTCGATATTCGTTATTTTCACGGAATTGTTCCAAATTTGGTAACGGATTTTATAAGTGTTCCTTTAATGTGTATATAACGGTACCTCCAAATATTAGGTATTTTTACGATTTATGAAACATTTTTTCGAGTTTGTTCAAAATTCGGTATTTGTAGTTTATTATGGTTTTAACAAAACATTGTCCCTTTTGGTCCACGGTTTCTACATAAAGATACCCAGTATTAAAATTACGTATTTAAAATTCGTAATGTGTACTACAACCTATGACGAAAAATTGTCTATACAGGTCCATGTCTTTGTATAAACCACATATTACGTTTTTAATTTGAGCGGTATTTTTCGGCGGATTTTTTTTTTTTTTTTGAAATTAAATGATAAACTTTATATCCCTCCATATTATAAGTATAATAAGATGCTGTTTATCATACCCTCCTCCATAGTATGGAGGGTATTTTAAGTTCGTCATTCCATTTGTAATACCTCGAAATATACATTTTAGACCCCAGCATAAAATTCTATGTCGATTTTGCGATATACGTCCGCCTGTCGGTATTTCCGTCTGTGGAAATCGCTCTAGCTTCCGAACGAAATGAAGTAGGTTGATAAAATTTTACTCAAATATATATTATGTCTGCAGGACTTTTGATATTGAAAATGGGCTATGTAGGTCCACGTTTTGGTACCCCATACAATGGTACCTCAATATTTTCGGTATTTTGGTGGTTTAAGCGACTTTATTCACCGGAAATGTTTCAAATTTGGTATTTGAAGTTCGTAATGGATACTACAGCCTATGCCAGAAAATTGTCTGTGCAGACTTATGACAAAAGTTGCCTATGCAGATTCACGGTTGTCACATAGACCTAATATAATGGCTACATTCGGTATTTATAATATTTTAACAGAATTTTTAACGGATTTTATTTCGTTCCAAATGGTGGAGGGTATTAAAGTTCCGCTATCTTACTTGTTTTTAAATACATTATTCATTTTTTTAATTATTGATTTAAAACTAAATTAAAAAGTAACTAAAAATTCAGAAAGAGCATATCGGAAATTTTAAAATAATCTATTTCCCAAAAATAACAAAATTTACTACTACTATGTCAATAAATTTAAATTTACCAACTGGACCCAGTAATTCAACTTTGTATTGTAAATTGCAAATAATTTACAGATTCCCAAAGAACGTATTGCATTGATCTGCCTTAATGTCACAAGGAACTACAGAAATCCCAAATCATTCGCAACATACCAAGTAACTTTTTTCGGTGTACTTTTCCGCCGCATGTGACATACGGCGGATGACACTGAAATTGTTTGAAAATTCAATTTCTTACCTTTTCTTTCTCTCCGATAAACAAATGGTATTTTCTCTATGATGGACACTGGACACTATTAGGTTAGGTTATTTAGTTTTCAAAGCACACATTTATCGATTTGAATATTAAATAAAGAAACAAAATAATTATTTTCGAATCAATTAAACTGATTAAATAATCCAAAAAAGAGTTACGTTGCCGAAAATAATGCCCGCACAACAAATTTATTGCTGGATTTCAGCAAACATTTCACTTTTTTCCAACTCTGCTCCTATCAAATCAATTGATATTCAGTTTGTGGCACTTTTGATACGGTAGCAACATTTGGTGGGTGCATGCAAACAACAACAACAACCAGCGACGGTAGCAGAAAACACAACAGCAACACCAACACCGACTTCAACAATCAAAGGTTTTCTTTAGCGTTTCAAGCCCCGTTTTATTTTAATTCTGTTAAACGCTTTTTTTGTATCGCTTACAACCTCTCCCGTCCAATTTGAAAAACCAACTGAAGCTCGTAACTCAAAACTAACCCTTAAAGAGGCGGAGGTTCGTGCATCACAACTTTGTTGAATTCCGCGTCTGACCATAGCATAAAGAAGAGGCGCAAAAAGTACGTGTCCGCAGAGAAATAAACCAAAAACAAAATCGCCAGCACCATCTCGTTGTAAGCGATATAACGCTAGTCATAACATATTTTTTTAACACTGGTCTACAACATTTCACTATTGAACGTACATTGAAAGTTTCAGTCGATTTTCCGACAGATATATAGAGCAGGGGTTAGACCTTAGTTTAGTTTCATAGCAATTTGCAATCTTTGGTCTAAACCGCTCACAAATCGTCAAAATGATATATTTTCGTCTGGAAGGTACCGATATACCTTATATTCAGACTAGATGTAATGTTTTCAGAAATTCTGACCTGTGTGAATTTATCGGTCACAAACAAAACATATTTTTAAATTTGCAAAAATTGAGAAACAATTCTCCGAAGAAAAGGTTTTGCACAGAATGGGCCGATATAGTGGATTATAGATCCTATTATCTCATACAAATATTAAAATTTTTAAACAAATCGGATACTCTTTCATCGTTTTCTGTTTGTGGTGGAATGCAAGTTCTGAACAAAATTTTACAATTGTATTTTTTTATACCCTCCACCAAAAAAAGTATGGAGGGTATATTAAGTTCGTCATTCCGTTTGTAACTCATCGAAATAATCATTTTAGACCCAACAAAGTATATATATATTCTTGATCAGCGTAAAATTCTAAGACGATTTAGCCCTGTCCGTCCGTCTGGCCGTCTGTTATAATCACGCTACAGTCTAAACGAATTAAGATAGGAAGCTAAAATTTTGCACAGATCTCTCTTTTGTGCACATTTTTCAATGGGATTGCCTGAAATTCCACAAAAGGAGTCCCTTGTGGGCATTTTACCCCCTCAAAAAGAATTGTCTATACAGGTCCACGATATCGTATATCCCCCATATAACTGTACCCCCCGACATTCGGTATTTTGATGATGTTAGCCACATTTTTCAATGGAATTGTCTTAAAATCCACACAAGTAGTTCCTTGTGAGTACTTTACCCCCTGAGAGAGAATTGTCTATACAGGTCCACGATATCGTATAGCCCCCATATAACGGTACCCTCTGATAATCGGTATTTTGATGATTTCAGCCACATTTTTCAATTGAATTGTCTGAAATTAAACACAATGGGCTCTTTGTGAGCACTTTACCCCCTGACATAGAGTTCTCTATATAGGTCCACAATAGCGTATATCCCCCATATAACGGTACCCCCGATATTCGGGATTTTGATGAATTTAGCCACATTTCCCAATGCAATTATCTGAAAATCCACACAAGGAGTTCCTTGTGAGTACTTTACCCCCAGACATAGATTTGTCTATAGAGGTCCACAATAGCGTATATCCTCCTCCCGATATTAGGTATTTTAAAGATTTTAAAAGAATTTTCAATGGATTTTATTTTTTTGAATATTTTCTAATTCGTTCCAAATGGTGGAGGGTATTCAAAGTTCGGCCCGGCCGAACTTACTGCTTTTTTACTTGTTTTAATTCAATATTTTACCCTTTGTAGGGGGTGGGTGCGTACTAATATGGAAGGGTTTACAACCTGTTATATATTACGATATGTTTCCTTCACTCAGTATGAAATTCTTATTTCTTATTGCATAATGTTGATATTTTTAACAAGAAGCTTCAAGTTGAGATAAAAAAAAACTGCAACCAAAATTAAAAACCAGTAAAGAAAGGCCTAATGTCGGGCGGGCCCGACTTTATGATACCCTACACCACTTTGCTAATTTAGTAGAGCTCCACATAACAATTTAAAGTTTTTATGGGAGAATTAAATTATACACGCTATGATTATAATTATAATTTAAAGTTCAAAGAACTAAATATGCCGAAGCATTTGTATCTTTTTAATTCGGACTTGTATTGCTCATTTGGTGGAAAATTAATTTGAAATCAGATAAAGATATATATGGGAGCTAAATCCAAATCTGAACCGATCTCGATAAAATTTAGCAAAGATATTTCTGAGCTGTTTTGATATATTTCCCTGAATATCGTTGTTACGGAGTGCATATTACGGCTGCGGAGGACAAAAATAACAAATCGGATGAACAATATATATGGGAGCTATAGCTATATCTGAACCGATTTCGATCAAATTTGGCATACATACATACATTCGATCAAATTTGGCCTAATTTGGTTGTATGTGCAAAATTCCATACTATTCGGGCTGATATTACACGTTTGGTGCACAATAAAAACCAAATCGGACGAAGATATATATGGGAACTATATCTAAATTTTGACCGATTATATCCAATTTCAATAGGGTTCGTCAAATCGAAACGTCAAAACAAATGATTTCTGCAAAATTTCATCTGGATCGGACAATAAATGCGAACTGTACTTTGTTTACAAAAATACATGGACAGATGGACGGACCGACAGACGGACGAACGGACGGACATGCATAAATCGACTCAAAATGTGATTCTATGCAGATCATCAGAAGGAACTACGGGTATATCTCGTTTCCTTTTGCCTGTTACAAACAAATGCACGAAGACATAATACCCTGACCACCTTATCATTATATTGTTTACAAGCGCACAAAAGCATTTTGGTGAGAATTTTCCAGAAAAAAAGTTTTCGTGATGGAATTCAAGAGTGATTGTCTGATTTCTTTATATTTGGCTGGAAAACCACAATCGTTAGAGCACTCCAGCATTTAAATGTGAACAAGTCTTTTGTGTCTCGTACCATCGCTCGTTACTGCGATACTGGTAGCGTAGCCCGACGCCAAGGAAGTGGACGGAAGAAAACAGCAACATTAGCAGAAATGGTTCAAAAAGCAAAGAAGCGGTTTAATCGAAACCCGCGTCGTAGTGGCCAAAAATGGCTCGTGAGCTGAACATGTCGCAATATTCCATTCGGCAAATATTGAAACATGAGCTCGGGGTAAAGCCATTGAAATTCCAAAAAGTGCAAGAACTTACACCGCAACAGAAAGAAAATAGACTCAAAAGAGCCAAAGAGTTGATTCGCTTGGCCGAAAGTGGTGAACTGGCGAGTTTGGTTTTCTCCGATGAGAAAACATTCGTTGTACAGCAGTTTTGTAAGTAAACAAAATGATCGTGTTTACTTGCCAAAAAGGTCACCATGGTGATTGTGTGGACCGCCAAAACAGCTGATGGCCTCTCTCCGCTCGTACTAATTGACCGAGGTATCAGAATAAATGCCGAATATTATCGCGAAAATATTCTGAAGGGTTTATTAAAGCCTTGGACACGCAAACATTTTGGGCCCAGACCTTGGACACTCCAAAAGGACTCAGCACCATCGCACTCAGCACGCGCCACCCAAGAATGGTTACAAAATGTGGTTCTTCGCTTCATTTCCAGCGTACAATGGCCACCAAAATCTCCGGATACCAATCCGTTAGACCATTGTGTCTGGAGCATTTTGGAATGCAAGGTTTTCACTAAAAAATACCAAAGTGTCGATTATCTCAAGCAAGTGGTTCGGCGGGAATGGGCCAAAATACCGCAGAGCAACATTTGGGCAGCGTGTGACGGTTTCATTGGTCGTTTGAAGGCCATAATTCATGCCAAAGGTGACCAATTCGAAAAAATTTAAACTTATTCTAAAATTTGATGCTATTTCCGGCATTTTTTGCTTTCATTCAATAAAAATTAAAAAATATGGGGTTTGTTGCAGTTTTTATCTCGCCCTGTATATTGGAAAATGCTTGAAGGCTACTCTACTTTGCTTAATTTATTGTATTTTGACTAGCAGTTTGTGAGCGGAACTTGATAAATATATGTTTGCAAATAGCACTGAACTGAACCGCAGCGAATCAAAACCACGGTTCGAGCCTTAAAGATCGAGCCATGGTTCAAAATGTAGTGTGAACCACTGAACTTGAGCCTCAAATTAGAAATTTGAAACGATTCCTGTTAATGTCTCTCGGAATCGTTATTTGGGGGGCTATACGAAGATGTGGACCTGCATACACAATTTTTTGTCATAGGCTGTAGTACCCATTACGAACTTTAAATACAATATTTGAAAAAAATCCGGTCGAAACTGTCGCTAAAATCATCAAAATACTGATTATCGGCAGGTAGCGTTATAACGGGGATGCGCAATATCGTGGTCTTATATAGACAATTCTCTTCTAGTGGGTAAAGTTTGGATTTTCAGTCAATTCCATTGAAAAAAATGGCTACAATCATCAAAATACCGAATATTGGGGGCATACCGTTATATGGTGGACTATACGATGTCGGGGACCGATATAGCCCGTTTTTTGAACTTGACCTGCCTGCAGAAAAAAGACTGATCTTAGTCAATTTCAGCTTCCTATCTTTATTCGTTTTGACTCTAGCAGACAGTCGGGCGGACGGACAGAGCAAGATCGTCTTATAATTTTATGCTTATCAAGAGTATCATCTGTCGAGCATATTTCGATGAGTTACAAACGGAATGACGAACCCAATATACCCTCCATACTATGTATGGTGGAGGATATAAAAATATTAGTAAGGTAAATATTTATCTTATAAGAATATAAAGTTCTAAAGCAGAGCTAGTTGTTGGAAATTGTGTCGGAAACATCTGAACTACCGAATATCGGGAGGTACCGAAACTCATCTGAAAACATACAAAATACCACAAATCGAGAGGTACCATTAATGGAGTCTATATCAAACAGTGGATCTTTCTAATCACTTGTTTGGACAGTGTGTCAGGATTCTTCAATATACTGAGCATCAAACGTTTCATTAAATGGGAACCCTATCCAATTGGAGAGAGAAATATAGCCCATTTTACGAAGCATATTAGTGCCACAAATTAAATATTCTGAATCCTATTTTAATTTAAAAAAAGGGAGACATCAATAAAAACTTCTATGAATAAGAAGAATA